TCGCATTCTTGATTCATCATTCTTGGCCACACACGCACGCACAGTCACACATACACACACAGATCGAACGAATAACCGAATAAGCCAAAACAAACAACATTTTGTTACTGTTATTATATAAACAATAACGGTACAGCTTGAGCTTTCTTTACCTCTGCGGCATATTGGATATATCGCCCGCTCGACGCCCGCCTCCTTTTCTTTATCAATCGCAAACCGCGAATCACGAGACTCTATGTCGAAAAAAAGGCGGAAAACTCGGGGATAGTTCAGTTTTCGGTGGGCCTTCAATTTACAGCGGAAGGGAGAGCCACCGGAATCGTAAAATAGTGGGATCGTAGAGTCGCGGATTCGTAGAAACGTGGAAGCGGTACGACGTTCGACGCTCGACGTCTAGCGCTCAACTCAGCGGTATAAAACACCATCAAAACGACGAGGCCAATGCTCGCTTTGTAGACTTGTCGCGTTAACGTGGTTAAGACGGGGAGCTTTTGGCCAGGCAGCTTTCTTCTGAGGGCTTCTCTTCGCCAATCGAAGCTACAAGAAGTCAAAATGTAGGTAGTTCAGCAGGCGGTAAGAGCACATAATATTTATTTATTTAATAATAGAAAAGCAAAAGGAGGACAGTCGAAAACTGGCCAAAACAAACTGATTTGGCTGCTCTATTTAAATATAAATATGATGTTATTTTTGTTACTTTGAACATTAGATCAAGTTGAGAGTGATTAGATTTTAAACTATAACTAATCTTAGAGTGTTCTCTTCGCTGAAATTGTAGAAACATAATATTAGTTAAATACGTTACTAAAATAAATCTATATATATTTAACCTCCTAAAACTAAGGATATTTATTATTTGTTTTGTTTGTTTTAGCAAATTTTTTATGGTCAAAATTTTACCTTATTATTATTATTAATATAATCATTAACGTAAACCAACCTTTAACTATTTTTAGCATTTAAATAAATCTTGTCAACAAATTAAATAAACATTTCAAAAATAGATACTACTAATTAAACTGGAAATGTTAGCTTCCATTTATAGAAAACCTTCAAGGCCAAGAAGAAGTGTATTGCTGGTTTTGTTCTTTTGTTTAGAAGGCTCTGCGGCTTTTTGAAAATATGGAACAATAAAAAGCAATCAAAACGGGCTATAATAAATATTTAACCATACTAAATCATTTATTTATGGATCAATAAAAGCAGCGGGTATCCTCCTTCAGTAAAAAAATAAGAAACCAAAGAAAACATTTGAAGTGGTTTGCTTTTCTGTAGCAAATGGGAAATCCAAGTCAAACATGAAAAATAAATAAATTTAAATTTGTCTCTGAGAAGAAAACTAGTGACTAATTGCCGGTTCATTCATCTTAAGTTTATTCTTGGCCAGCATTTAAAACTTGTCAAATGTTGATTTTCGTTAAGTCCGGCGGAAGTATAAATAATATTCACAACAAGCGAAAAGTGCACTATAACCGTTGGGAATTCCTAGACATATTATAAGAGTGAATAAAATTTACGGCACTGCCATTGTTTACCCTCATTATCAAAGTGAAATATATGGGTAGCTGTTTGTTTGGCGGCAAAAAGTAATCCAAAGACAAACAAAGAAAGAAGTGGACTGTTTTTTTGTGTTTTTGCTATAGCATAACATTTATTTTTTCGCATACACAGTATTCCGTTGCTCTTTTAGTATAAAAAAGTAGTACAAAAGTTCTATTTCTACTCGTGTTTGGCATTGTCAAACTGAAGTACGTGGATTTGTTTGCTCCCTTGAAACAAAACAAAAAAAAAACTCAGGGAAAATGCAAATAAAAAGTGAAACAAGTGTGCAAATAGGAGCAAACAAACGTGTGCCCAACAGGTGTGTGTGTAGTGAGTGTGTGTGTGCTTGTGTGTTTGGGTGCTTTTCCAAGGGGTGGTGGGTGGTTTTTGGTTGAGTGGGTGGGTGGCAGACGCATTGCGTTTATTTACTCGCCGGTCATCATCTCCATGAATTCTGTAAATTAAACAAAACGACAGACATTAAACCGATGCCACATAGCCAGAGCAACCGCTATATGCATTTATAAATAAATATTCCATAAACACGAAAACAAAAATGTTAATACATATACTCCTATATGAGAGGATGAAATATGAAATGAGAAATGCGTGTGGAATATGTTCGGAATCGGATTTGTGTGTCGCGACTAAAAATAGCCATCGATATGCTCCATGGGAGCGGTGATCAAGCTGTCATAATCGAGCGATCGAGGGATCCCGCGATCTCAAGATCATCGCAATTTATGATCACTATATGTTGCTCGTATGTGGGTGTACGATGGCAAGCCACTAGAATGTGGCACACTATCCAACTATTAATGTACAACTATGTATACGCCCACTCACCATCGAAATCCACTGTACCGGAGCCATCAGAATCGATCTCCTCGATCATGATGTCCAATTCCTGTTCGGTCAGTTGGTCGTCCAGCTCCTTGAGGATCTCCTTCAGGCAGGTGGTAGGAATGAAACCGTTGCCCTGCTTGTCATACAGACGGAATGCCTCGCGCAGCTCCTTCTGCATGGCCTCAGCGTCCTCCTCCACGATGAACTTGGCAGCCAGCTGCACGAACTCACCGAATTCCAGGCGACCGGACTCTGAAAAAAGTCAAACATAACGTATACCATATAATTAGCTGAAAAACTGACTGTCTGGAAATCTAAAGGCTAATGATGGAGGCGCCGAAACTGCGATGATCATAAATCAATGACAGCGTGAAACTGAAATATGATCATCATCAGTCGATAGTGAATCATCTTTGAATTAGTGTAATAGCCAGATTTTTTTTTGGGTTTCTTAGTTATAATAATTAACAATTTGAAACTGTCTAGAGGTAATTGGATATTTCCCCATATTTTAATATGCTAATAACTAATATTTTATCTTTATTCATTTAATGAAATAATAATAATAATATTCATTTGTTGGTTTTGTGATAAAATTTAATATTTTTCCGCAATTTGTTTTAAATTATTGTATTTTTAATTAATTTTAGATAGATAGATATTTTTGCTGCAAATGGAAAATATTATTTTGTATAATTTTTCATTGCTTGCTTCTCATTTGCTTTGTAACTTTTTATACGAATTTACCAAAAATAATATTTGTGTCTCGTTAATTTGTTAAAATGTTTTTCACTTTCGACCTTTTTGCAATTAAATTAAATTTATATATACTCGTATATGCCACTCAAACTGTAAATAGGCTATATTCCACTTATTATTTTAATTGGTATTCTACTTGACGTGAATATTGCAGCTTTTCAGACACCAAATTGTTTCTATTTTTAATAGGAAACTAGAAAAATTCTAGTTCGCCCATTAAAGATTTTAAATGAAGGTTTACTTACTGTCTTCGTCGACCTCCTCAATAAGTTCCTCCAGGATCTTCTTGTCGAAGGGCTGACCTGTAATCCCAAAAAGGATAAGTACTCCCATACGGGATTAGATACCTAAAGTTCAAGGACTTACCCATCAGGCGCAGGATATCGGCGACCATCTCGGTGGGGATCGAGCCAGTCTTCTGGTGATCGAAGCTGTTGAAAGCCTTCTGGAGCACGGCAATCTGCTCGGGGGTAAGATCTTCATCCTGGAATAATAAAAAAGGAAGTTTATTTCTTAGTGGTAATCCTTTGGAAGACAGAAAGGTCTTATGTGCTTACGACGCTGCTCATGTTGCTGCTGTTTGTGTTTTGAGTAATGTGTCTATAGGATCTGTCTGATCAGCTTTATCTCACGAACCGATCGCCACGGAATATTCGTTCCAACTACGAGGCTGCGCGGATGCGTTTTCCAAAATATAGACCAGAATCGGTGAACTTGCCACGCACACAAAACAAAAACGGAAAAGCGGAAAAACACGAACACGGCCGATCGGTGGATATGCGGATCGTTGGAGTATATGTAGCGTTTTTCCACGCCGCTGCCTGAATTTTATTGTTTTTTAGAAATAACTGTAAATGTGCGATGTGGGAAAAAGCGAAAATAAAACGCGATCGGAGCGGATCCCGCCGCATTCGCTGCCGGAGACTGAATACGAGCCGTATAGTGGTTTTCCATGCCCAATGATCGGTTGTTGTTGGAGCATTCAATGGAGTGGGATTGGAGGAGCAGAAGTAGCTAGAGGGGCAGCCATGATATCTGCATATGTGCGCCAGCCAGCTATAATGCGATGCGTTGCGCTGCGTCCCCCGGATCCACAATTAAACAACAAGATCGGAGGTATATATATTCATACATTCATTTAAACGCCACCAGATGCACGACAACAATAGGGCGCGATTTGGAGAAATCGCCACTAGAGCAATGCCCCATCTTTATTCACATCCAGTACGAGGCAGGTGGGTGGAACTATTGGGAATCTTCTCGAGAATTACCTCGAGTTCATTACTTGACCGAAAATACATTTTCCTTTGTTTACATTTTAATTGTCAAAATACAATGTTTCTATTTAATGGATATAAGATAGATGTATGGAAATATTTCAAATACCTGACAGCTCATTTTTCAGTTATTCTTTATGACCATGATAAATTCCTGAATACGTACCTAAAATCTGTGAGGACTTACAAGAAAATCATTAGCAATTTAGCAAATATTGGAATACCATTTCACAACATTTATAAAAACAACACTCATTTTTTGTTTTTACATTTGTGGAATTTATGTGACAATGAAAATAAATACGAATATATTATGTTCTTTGTCATTTGAATTAGTCACATATTGATTTGCTATCATCTGTTTTAATGTTACTTATGTTTGGATGAACTTTAATTAAAATATAAACTTTAATTCTTAAGGTTTATAATAATTAAGAAAGAAATATTTAGAAGCTTCTTTGTATTTTAACTTAATTTCATGAATATTTCAAAACCCATTTTGATGAGTCATTTTCAGAGACTATGACATTTTTAGTGTAAATAACCGCCAAAATTTAAATCTTAAAATGTGCTAAAAGATCTAATGTTATCGGCATGTGTCTCGGCTTGTAGTCGGACAACTCTAATGGTGGCGTTACCAGATCACTTACCTTTCAGTTCACAACGATGGTTCGTATAAAAAATAGGTAAATATTTACAAAATTCAGTTTTTCAACTTTTATAAATTAAACTATTAAAAAACAGATATATAGCAGTGCAAATTGTGCCCTACACACCAACACAATCACTGCGACTTAACGACAACACCCTGGCGAAAATTCTGCTGCAGAATGTGGAGAAATATCATGGAGTCTACGCACTGGGAATGATCGAGCAGGGATTCCGTGTGAAATACATCAATGATCGAACCAAAACAGCAATCATACGGTGCCTGCATCGTGGTCAACGCTTTGTGTCCAGCATATTGCCATTGATTACTTTGGTAGGTCATAGTTTATTACCTATAAACCAGCATTGAAAATATATTTCTAGATTGGAGATGTACGAGCCAAGTTTAGGACCCTCTATATTGGAGCCACCATCATCCAATGCAACAGATTCATAGTTAAGCATCAGAAACAGTTCCTGGACCGCGCAATGGGTCAGCTTACATCCGCCAAGGAACGACAAGACCTTTTCAAACGCGTAATGGAGTTCGACATGGACAGATAGAAAATAAAGTGTGTTTAGCGTTTAATTAAGTAATTATAGTACATTGTTTTCTTTAAGAAAACAGTTGTCACAATTCGACTAAAATATATATCATGTATTTGGTATCAAACTAAACTTCAATGAGGAATTTACGACTCGGTGAGCGTGCAACCTTGGCTCCGATTTGCTTTAATCTCTGTCGGATGTCAGCCAAAGTAAGTTTATTCTTCTTGCTGTACACATTGAGATAGATGCCCAGAACAACTATAAGGCCAGACCACAGATATCTGGAAAATTAAAATGGATAAAATAATATCCATGGGATACACTTCAACAAATACTTACTGCATAGTAAATGGTTTGCTGAAGAGCAGAAATGAAAAGGCTATGGTAACAGCCTTGCGAGCGGTAGTTACTGTGGCCGCTATGGGCGCACCACTACTCCTCACCAAAGCCAGTACAAACTGAATGCCCAGATAGCCGGACAAGCTAAACAGGAAGCCATAACCAAAGGTCTCCAGGGGGTGCTGAAAAACGACGCAGTTTAGTCATCATACATAAAAAAAACTTTTCTTTTACTCACCTCCAAGCAGAAGGCAAAGCCGCTGAAGAAGTTGCCGGTAACCAGCATTATCACAAAAAGATACACGAAACCCAAACCGTAGGAGTAGAAGACCACCTCGCTGCTGGGCGCCTTGTGCTCCCGCATGGCCTTCTCCTGGACATTTCCGATGGCCGCATCGCAAAGCAGAGCTCCAGAAATCATGGCCACTCCTAGCAGGTTGAAATTGGGCGTCATCTGGGAGTCGGCCAGCGTAAACCAAGCCAATCCGATGCACATACAGGTGGCAGCTGCAAAGTCCAATACTCCATAGCGTTTGCCCTGGATGAGGATGCTGCCCACCAGGACAGGAATAAGCTTACAACACTTGAAGATCACTTGGGTGGGATAGTTTAGATAGCCGAGACTAGAGTTTGACAAACCCATAGTTCCTAGCGTAAGAGCAGCCAGAACCAAGTACGTTTTCATGGGAATGCAACGTGGCTCCGGCTCAATGTTCCAAAACGAAGCACCACTTATCCGGTAGCCCTCCAACCGCCGTTCTACAAGGCCAAAGCCAATGTAGTACCCGAATTGGACGAGCGTGAGGAACCATCCGTACGGTTTAAATCCTTCTACAGTGAATATAAGCTCTTGTAGATAGCCGTAAAGGATATACAGTATGAAAACACCTGCGCAGCTCAGCAGAAATTGAGTGGTGCGATTGTAGAAGGTGAGGTCAAAGCAGAGGATTCGCAGTTCCGTTGGAGTTTCTGACGAAGAGGACTTCCGCTGCGAAGGCGGAGAGCTTCCTGCCGACGGACCATTATTAATGGTGATAACGCTCCCAACGTTATCTGACATTCTGCTTGCCATCGGCTTGCTAATGTGTGTGTATATGCACACTATATAGTGAAGATGTTAAGATTGTGACTGAGACCGTGTAATTAGTGCCACGCAGTCCGTGGAGTTGTCAGTTTAGAGTACGGATTTGTCATGCCTCTTTGGATGCCGTATTAATTACAGGATGCAGGGGAGATTACTTTCATTTTAAAATTGTAATCACTAAGAGTACACTATAGGTTTGTTTACCACAAATAAACTAGTTTTTTTTACTTAGAATTAGAGATGTGCTATCTCTGCCTGCGATATCAACGAAAATATTCTAAGCGGTAAATGCTTAGACAAGTTGACAACTCTGCTTCTACCGGCATTTGAATCCACTTCCAACTAGAATTTGAACTGTTGAACGATATTTATTTTTCTGTGCACAAAAACAAAAATCGAGAAGTTCTGGTACAGAGATTTTGAATCGTTTTAAAACATAAAATATACCTAAAACCTTGAAACACTCGCAATTATTCTACAGGGGGTGTTATTACGACCCAATGATAATTTGGTATATTAAGGGTGCTGTGAAGCGGTCACACTATTAAGAAAAAGAAGAAGAAAGTGTGCAAAGTACCGCTGGAAAATTTTACAAAGTAATGAATTTAGGATCTTAATAAGGGCAATAGTATTTAAATCTAGCCATAAAATGGACGTTCAGCCGCCTCGAGGTGAGTACTTGAACCTAAATGTGCTTTAGTGCCCTTCCGAAGAATTACTTTCGGTGCCCAGCTAGATTAGCATGCACACATACGCGCGCACACGCACAACCTTTGATATGCTCACATTTTATGCAAAACTTTTCCTTATAACTTTGCAGACGCCAGTTTACGCAATATTATAGACAAGCTGGCGGAGTTTGTGGCCAGGAATGGGCCGGAATTCGAGGCCATAACCAAGCAGAAGCAACAAAATAACCCAAAGTTCGAGTTCCTTTATGGCGGGGAGTTTGCCAGCTACTATCAATTTCGGGTGGCAGCAGAACAGACGCGTAAGAGTATTGTAAAATAGTCGAATATATCTTGAAATAACCCTTATTTACTCCACACACAGTGCTTAAGCAGCAGAGTATTAACCAACAGCTGCCATCGGGTGGTCAGCCCAGCCACTACATGCAACATCCACCGCCAATGCAGCCATCACAGCAGCCTGGCCTCTATCCGCCACCTAATCAGCAGTCACAACACCCTCCAGAAAATCCACAGGATAATATGCAACAGCAATCGCAGCACCAGTGGCCTCCCAACTCTGGCAACGGGGGTCCGCCAATTAATCAGCAAGCGAATGGCAGCGCCATGACCATGAATCTAACCTCTCAACTAGACGTGATCAAGATGCAGCAGAAGACGTTGCGAGAACAGATCAAGCAATCCGAAGCGAATCTCTCCGCACAACACACGGTAATTTAATGTTGACAACGACTGGGGTACATCTATATACCATACTTTTGCATTTTTCTGAGGGATTAGAGCAGCTCAAGTGTTTGACGGAAAGCTTACCACGTTCTTGTCACCTCTCTTTGATGTCTTAACTGTATGTGGGGGAATATTGTTTCCTGTTGAGTCCTATCCCAAATAATTATTTAACAATTTTTTCGATCCTAATACTGTGGCCCTTTAAAACTTATTACTTGAGGGTTAAAGTTCAGAAACCACTTCTTGTTGAAATACTATATAGTAAATATAAGTTATAAACTCAACGATATGTGCTTTAATTCATCATTTTAAGGAAATCACATTCACAAAATGTAGGCATGTACTATCCACTAATATTTCGTAAAAATCACTCTTACTGCTTTTCGACTTTTATGGCAAAGATTACCCCTTTTAAAGTGCAACTTCGATTTGTCTTAAATAGACAAAAACTTTTTGTAAGAGATATTTCCCAAAATATAGGCTCCAATCTTTTTGAAAGGACTTTAAAATTTAATTTGATTTCGAACTAAATGATAGATTCTGTTTTTTATAAGCACTTTTAAAATTTAGTCAACCCTAAATTCTTTGAATTCAAATATATATCAAAGGGGTGTTATTTCGTTAACAAAAATAGAAAGCATGTTCATGGTTTCCTGTTGGCTGTTTTACTCGAATAAATATTATAGCCGTATTCGGTTACTAAACTTCTAAAAGTTACAACCGTGTGAAGGTAAAACTGATTTTCCTCGATAAAGTCTACTAATAATGGAAAAGAGATGTCACTTATCTATTTACAATTTTCCTTGTGGACACCACAAAAGACTTAAGTTACTGAATATGGCCCTTCCCATGATTTACTCTCAATCGATCTACTCAGTCCTTGATTTCTAAATTTGCATAAGAATAAGATAAAGTGTACTTTCAGCATTACCAAACTCCAAAATCTATTTGCTATTATTTTAACTATTTAATTAACAATTTAAAATGCTACATTAAATTTTTGCTTTATTGTATTTTTTGAAACATAAACCAAAAAAAAAAAAATACCAATCAAACCACTCTTCATACCAACTGACAAAACTGTATAAAAATCAAAAAAAAAAAAAAACAAATCCCAAAATCAAATTTGTTTGAAACGCTTGTCGACTTGAATACGAAATCGCAAATGCGAATATGAATGTGAAAATACCTTTGTGTGTCCAATGACCAAACTGATCTGATCCGAACCACACCAACGCATCCGAACTAAATCGCACCACCAACCAACCAACCAAACGATACCAATCTGTAGGCCTTGATGACCCAAAAGACGAAAAAGATCGAGGAGACGATTGCGGCGGCACAGACGGCGCAGCAGGAACAGATGGCCAGTGAACAGGGCATTGTGCTGAGGGACTTCGATGGCGTCCTGCAGCCGATCATCGAGTCCTGCACCAAAGACAGCATCTCTGCAGGTAAATATGAGTTCGGCGTCCCGGCTGGATTCCATTATTGCTTGTTTGTAGTCTCGTTATCAGTCATAAGTTAAGCTAAAAGAGCTGATATTTTGATGCTCTGCAGTTTTGCTCCACACAAAACACACACTAAATGAATCCATAATACCTTTTGATTAATCCTTAATCCTAATTTATTATCGCTAGTGACATTGACAATATGAGTAACCTGTTTGATATTGCAATTTTAGGCAAGAACTGGATTTTACAGCATTCAACCGACAGCGCAAAAATCAATGTCGTTTTACAATATCTTTTAAAGAAGTATGCCTCAGTTTTATGATTAATGACCTGCAACATGTATTAATTCATTTGTGTTTCTTTCTTTCAACGAGTGAAATACTAACCAAACATACAAAAACGAAAAATCGAAAAACAAGCGAGAGATGATCGATTGAGCGATTGAGACTCCTCCCCCTGAGAGGCTCGAGATTGATTCGTTGATTCGTTTTCGAAAGATGTTGAAAGATAGTTCCCCGATCCGGAAGTTTTATAGCTAGGGCCACACACCTTGACACATCATTTTACCTAATAATTTTAACCATAATCACGCACAACAACACACCAACACTAAAAAGTGAAATAAATCGGGATAAAAAATCAAAAGTCAAAAAGAAAGGCGACCAACTAACAAAAATCATTTTACTTGCACAACAAGTACTTTGGCAATGTTGTTGTGCATACAGAAAACTAGAGAAAAATATGTTTTTTCGTTTGTTAATTTATTTTTAGGGCTTTGGTCAATGGTTCAACGTTTCAGCAAAAATTGCATCTTATATATTTAGTTAATGATATACTCCACCACTGGTAAGTTTGCCAAGTCAATCACTAGCATAGTACAGTATTTAAAAGACCACAAAAACTAACCCACCAAGCAGTAATCTAGCTTGGTTGGTTAGTTTAAGTTTTACGACTTGGACAGAACTATACTGAAATCCTACTCCTGACCTCTGACCTGGTACCACAGATTAGATTAGTTAGTTTAGCCGGGAGCTGAGACCTAAGTACAACGATGTATTTACAGCATGCGCAAGAACATCAATGACTTGAAGAACAGCCTGGAGAACGTCGTCATTCCGATGTTCTGTAGCGCGGATTTGAGTATGTATTTCCTCTTTGAGCGTTAAGCTTTGGATATTTAATATTTTTATCCTGCCCCACAGTTGCTAGCGACGACCAGCGGCAAAAGTTGGCTAAGCTTCTGTCGCTGTGGGAGTCCAAGGCCAAGTTCTTCGATGCCTGCGTCATCTCGAAACTACAGTCGCCGGACTCGTCTATGCAGGAGTACAAAACCAATATGCAAAACACACATCCTGATATAACTGCCAAGTTTACGCAGAACACAAAGGCAACTTTAGATAAGTAAGTAGTCCAAAAAATATAATTACGGGTATATCATTAAAGAGTTAATCAAATGATTCCCTTTAGCTACCAAAAACAGCATCAGATATTTATCCAGCATGCCGGACAGCAAATTGCCCAACTGGAGAAGCAGGGGCAGCATTTGGAGCAGCAGATAATGGTAACCCAGAAGGCCCAGCAGCAACATATGCTCCAACATCAAGGTTCTGGAGGGCCTCAACAGAAGAACATACCATCTCTGATGTCCCATCGGATACCGATGCCTGGAGACCTCGAGCACATGAACAATCAGGGTCCGCAAGGGCAGCACGATCAGCAGCATCCACAGGGAGGCAATAATATGTATCCAGGTGGCAACTTCCATCAGCAGCAGCAGCAACCACCGCCGGGGAATCCCTTTGCGGATCGTGGGGCGAACTTTTTCATTCCGGACATGTCCAAACCACCGCCGGGTTTTCCAGGACCCATGCTTCAGGGGCCTCCTCCTCCGATGGGCCATCAGCAGCAACCACCACAACAGGGGCAATTCCCGCAAATGCAGGGACAGGGAGCTGGAACCGAGCCACCTGTTGACTTGGGCGTGCTCAGTGCAGCAATTCAAGCGTGCTTACAAATGCAGCAGCAACACCATCCTGATGATCCACAGCAGCCAGGACAGCACCAGGGACAGCACCAGCTTCAACAGCAGCAACAGCAACAACCTCCACCAATGGCTGCCTACCCCCAGAACATTGTCAGACCTAGCCAGCCAAGTGTTGATGGGGATGTGGACTTGGATGTTCTGAATGCGGCCATTCGAGCGGTGATAACTAATAAACCCGAAGATGGCCAATTGGAGGACGGCCAACAGCCGCAGAAATCGGGGGAAGAAGAATCTGGAGAACCTGTTGTGATCGGAGAGCCGCAAATACCTACAGCGCCTTACTACGATTTGCCTGCGGGGCTTATGGTACCTCTTATACGCCTGGAGGATTACAATTATAAAGCCCTCGATCCGGCGGATATACGACTGCCAGCTCCAGCACCACAGAGCGAGCGACTGACAAATGCGTTGAACGCCTTCTACTCCGCACCCTCCCACGATCGTCCCAGGGATAAGTAAGTAATTGAATCAACTGTACTTCATCGATACTAATCAAGTTTTTCTTTGCAGTGAGGGCTGGGAGAAACTTGGTCTCTATGAGTACTATAAGGTAAAGAATGCAGCGCGAAAGCAAAAAGAAGAGGAAATCAAGGACGGTATTCGAGAAAAATCCCGCTCGCCCAGTCCGATTGTGCTTGAGAAACCTCCACCCAAAAAGAGCAACAAACGGGTCTATCGGTGAGTTATTGCATATAACAGAAAGTGTATTTTGATTGTTTACAGTCAGGCGATAAAATGTCTTTATGAAAGAAAATAACATAATCAACATAATAAGTATGAAAACTTTTTTTCTTTTAATATATAATTCCTTTTCTATATTAGATCCAAGAGTCGTAGTCGCTCCCCATCCAAAACCCCACCTCTCAGGGAAAGATCAGCATCTCGTTCCAGATCCCGATCGCGATCCTTGGAGCGATCCTCAACGCCTCCGTTAAACCGCAACCGTGTAGGCGGTAGTAGTTTAGGGGGTAGCAATCGGAAGGGTCGCAATCGATCACCACGCAACGATCGAGACAACAGCAGCAGCATTATTAATAGCAATCGTGAAAATCGTGCGGAACGAGGCAATAATGGCAACAGCACCAACATAAGACGGGTGGAGCGTGACAGATCTCCAACCCCTCCGAGCTTTTTGTAAGTAATGAAATAAAGCAAAAAAAACAAATAATTTTTTTCTGAATAACAAAAAATTTGATTTTTTTAATTAGTGAAATGCGTATATTAAGTGGCTAGTATTTATGTTCTTATTTTATATTTTTAGAGGAAGCACCTTTGCTAAGCCCGATGAATTCATCGAGGAGTCAAACAAGGGCCACCAAATGCTCATGAAAATGGGTTGGGCGGGCTCTGGCACTGGACTGGGCTCAAAGAATCAAGGCATAGACACTCCCATTTCGGGAGGCGAAGTACGTGATCGTCGTGAAATGTACAAGGTGAGAAGTTAAGTATCCACATCATAAACACATTCTCTAATCACTCTAATTTACAGGGAGTGGGTGCTAATATACATGATCCCTTCGAGAGCTTCCGTAAAAACAAGGGTGCTGCCTTCGCACATCGCATGCGTTCCCGAGACGACAAGAGTTAGGATCTGCTACAGGCCACTAACTCCCACTTTTTTGTTTTCTTTAGTCGAGAAAATATACATTTTTATAAAAGCCAACTGAGTATATTTACAAAATTAAGCTATAACATTTACACTGGATTGGGCAGCCTTGGCGTTAACTTTCTCTAGGACCTGGACAAGTCCCTTGCCAGGACCACATTCGAAGGTGCGCGGAAAGTCGACGCCCTGCTTGCGTTCGTACATCTCGTGCAGAGTCTGTTCCCACTTGACGGGGCGCACGATTTGCTTGGGCAGCTGTGTGAGAATGTGTTTGGCATGGCGATAGGGTTTGCCATCTACATTGGAGTAAACTCTTATGACGGGATCTTGCAGGCGAACCGACTTTAGGGCTTTGGTAAAGGGCTCCACGGCGCTCTGCATTAGCGGAGTGTGGAAGGCGCCGCTCACGGCTATTCTCTTCATCCTCCGGATCTTGAGGGCTTTAGCATTTTGTTCCAGGAACTCGAGGGCCTCGACGTTGCCAGCTACCACCTTACAGTGCGGATACATATAATTAGCGATGCCACAGTACGGCGATTCCACACCCTTGTCCAGACACCATTGTTGTGCCCGGGCACAAGCCTCTCCCAGATTGGTATCTGGTCCGTAAAGGGTCATTGCCATGGCTCCAACTGCCTGGTCACAAGCTGCCTGCATGGCAGTTGCCCGCACCTGAACTAATCTCAAGGCTTTGTCGAATGGCAGGGCATCCGCATACACCAAAGCGGTAATTTCGCCCAGACTGAAGCCGGCGGCGGCCACACACGTTTCAATGGCCTTGGGCCGTTCCTCGCGCAATTGTTCCAGTGCCGCCAGCGAAGACACCATTACAGCCAGCTGAGCGTGCTCCGTACGATTTATTTTCTCACGTGGTCCCTCTAGGCAGATCTTGAGAAGATCGTACTTAAGCACTTCATTGGCGAGCTCGAAAATGCGGCGGGCTCCAGGAAAACGGAGGAGGTCCTTGCCCATGCCCACATACTGGGTTCCTTGACCGGGAAAGAGCATAACACTTGTTTCCTTGGGATCAATAGCAGGGCGGCTTCTCTGGTCGACGGGCTCTGCCAATTCGTTAAGGAGCTGCTGACGCTTCTCCGCGTTGTCCGCGTGGACAGAAGCTTCTGTGGTGGCCTTGGCGGCATCGCTACTCCATCGGGACCAACTTAAAGTGCCGGAAATCCGCGGCTCTCGTAATAATCTTCGAGCGGCCAACATTTTTATTACCGTACCGTAAACAGCTGATTAGAGGTGGACAGACTCCGATGTCAATATTGAATACTACATGTAAAACTTATCGATTTCTTAGGTTGATTAATTTTAGTACATTAACTAATACGAATTTTGGCGGTTCATGTTCTAAAATTTAAAGGACGTAGACAACTTAAAATCCACACTTTTTCCAGAGTCACACTTAAGTCAGCGAAGATTTTTTAGAATGTTACTATTAAAGTATATGATCTATATTTTCCTATTTTAATAAATTACATAAATAATTCTTCATAAGTTATTAAGTGCGTTTTTGGAAGAAGATAGAAATGACAATAATTGCCGGGGATTTCACTTGTCATCTTATTCATTGACGTCGGCATCGAAACATCTTTTTAATTGACAGTGTTTTGAGGCCGTTTTCTTTTGCCACTATTTATAGCCAATCTTGATTTATGTTGCTAAGCTATTAGTTAGTCATTGCCGATCATGACGAAATACCAATGGTATAACCATGAATCACTTCTTAACATGGAAAGGTTTTGCTGCTTGCTTTACTTGTGGGTCAGAAGAACAGAGTGTCAAGAGTCCTTTAGTATTAAAGAATTTTTATTGGAGAACAAATATTTTTTTGGAACTATGTATTCAATACCAGGTAAATAGTTAATCAGAATAATAGTTAATTGAGAGAGGTTAAAGAATGCTCCTAAAGCTTTATTCCTTACTAAAAAGGTAGCCTTAAACTGAATTTTGAATTGATAATTAATTCGTTCAGGGATGAAAGTATCCCTTAGGAATATAGTTGGGAATTTTAGTGCGCATTATACTCTTTGTAGGTTAAGAAAAATGTTTTCCGTTTTTTGTCCTTTCATATCGTAAGAACTTAATAATTTGGTGCCGAAACGGAAGAGTATTTTTTGGCCATGTGCTATTTGGAACACCCAAAAAAAGAATTTCTAATTTGAAATGCGATCCCAGCGGGGCAATCGCAGAGTTTTTTGAACTCAAAAGCGAAAGAATAACCCTTCGGCACGCCAAAGGAGCTGGAAGAGAATTTGGATGAGGACAAGGATGGCAAAGGTGAACGACAAAGCCGCCTGCAAAGTCAGACACCGGAGATGACGTGACGCACCACTTTCGCCCTCAGTTCAAGGAACAGGAGATCTTGGCATCAAAACAAAAACACTAGCTCACACGCTCTGGCAGCGGTCCTCCGGTGTCCGTTTGTCCATTTGTCCATGGTCCTCTCCTCCACCACAGCACCCTTTTGCCCCCTTAACAAACTCCAAAGATCTGATCTTCTCAGAAGACGGAGCGACATTCCCTGCTCTTGTCTTGTTGCCAAGGAAAGGACCCATCATATACCAGTGTCGTCTAGACTGCACGAATATAAGATCGCCGATGGACCGACGATTCTATTAGAAGCAGAACCTGTTTGCGGTTTATGCTCCGTTGGGTTTTGTTGTATTTGGGTTCTTTTTTTTTAAAGTTTTTTGTGTTTGATAATGAATTGTGAATTTGATGCCCAGGTAGGGGCATTCGGTGGAGATCAATGACATGGCGCAAGTGGCGCGATTCTTAAAATCAGGTTGTGAAATTGTATTTATGAATGAGAGCCCGTGGCGAACCAATTAAATGCCGCATACCAAAAAGAGTTTTACCCACAACACACATTCCAAAATCAAATAGAGGTTCTCAGAACGTGCCCGATACCGTTATTATTCGTGGACGGGGACCAGCGAGCACGGGAATGCACATTCCGAAGGATATGTACGTGCAAAACTGCGAGGAAATGCAACTGCGTCGCAACATTGCGCATACGCCACGAGGGCTGGCTGACATTTCCGCATGCGGGAATGCAACGAAAGCGAAAAGTTAACGTAACGACGAACGAGCGAGCAACCGATCTGAACCCATAAAAAGTCGGCCGAAAGTGTGCATTGACCGAGAGAAGAGAGTGGCTAAAAATATCAAAAAAGATCGTAACACACTAAAATAAGAACAAACGATGTTGACGCCTGATCCAGAACAACCGTTAAGTCCTCCCCAATGATGCTGCAACAGGGTGAGCGAAAGGGACAGCCTTAGCGGTTCAGAAAGAGACAGATAAGGGGCAGAATCAAAAACGAGAGTGAAAGTTCTCGTTTGCTCGTTTTACCTTGCATGCAGGAAAACCTGTTATAGAGGTGTCTATCTTTTCAGCTAGAAGCAACTAGAATTATTAAAGAAAAATTGTAAAGACCATTTTACTGATTTTAGTTGGGATTTAAATCTATACAAATCAAAACATTTGTATCTTGTATTACTTTACTGTTATTTATCAATATATAAATTATTTTATATTTAATAATATATTTTTCTTTTAATTAACATAAGTTCTTTTGATACAGCATCAAACAATTATTTTATTTTATGTTTTGATTTTTTAATTTTTAGGTTCTTTACAAAGGTTTAAAAATGTATTGCTCACAGAACCTCTCTAAAGACAAATTGAAATTAAGTAAGGTACCTAATCAATTAAAATTTGTTTTAAATACTTTTTAAAGTCTTAATTAAACTGCTAAAGCCTTCAGATAGCGTAAATGGTGAATATTGTTAATATAATATGTTTATTTGAACTCGAAGTTGTTTTTCCCCCGTTAACGCTATTAACGTGTTATTATGCTATTATCAGCTACACAATAAAAAGTCAAGTCATTTTAATAATGAAAATTAAAAAATAATAAAAACAGTTAATCAATATTATCGATACCAATTGTTTTTCATAAACTTCCAACCATAATCAAAAAACATGCAGTGTTAAATTTTAAATTGGATTTGAAAACCTTTTATGGACCTTATAAACAGTTTTAATGATACCCATAAATAAATAAATACTAGATATGGTCTAAGCATTCACAAACAAGAAGTGCGCTGCCCTGGTTGGAAAACCCCCTGGCAACAAGGTCCAAATGACACTTTCACTGCTACCGTGACCGCCACAACAATCTATTACTACCTTATTACATTCTCAAGGTGTTTTGATAAGACTGTAAACTACCAAGTATTTGCCATATCTTAATCAATAAACACCACAGCATGTGACTCATCAGATTAACCGAAACAATTATGTTGAAACTCGTGAAGATTTGAAGGCGCCGGCATGAAACTGAAACTATAAAAGTCCAACTCTTAAAGTCTGACGTCCGTTCCGAACTTCATTGATAAATAAATAAATATAAATATTTCTGAATTCCCGGCGCGCCTTGCCGCTTACGCAAAACTCCTTTGAACGGATCCCAGTCTCAATCCCAATACCAATCCCGATCCCAAAAATCACAAAAATCGCGAGCCGCTCTCTCACCCCCTATTCAAAATAAAGAGCGGCAGTCGAGAACCTGGGAAAGCCGAATCAACCTGAGCCGAGCCTCGATTTTTGAAGCGCGTATAAAAGCTCGGCGACTTCGGGTGACCTTTCATTGTGCGCTCGTCGCTCGTGATTATCAGGTAACGTCGATCGGACGTTTTTTACAGTCAGCAAGTTTTTCGATTCGCCCGCCAAAAAAACACGTATACGTAGTGTTGCAGCCAGAAAAGTGGTCTAGGTGCCATCATTGTGATCTATTGAGAAAAGTGATCTTAGAAAGGAATTAAAATGAGTTCAAAGGTGAGTTAATTAATACAAATATTTTAAATACATTATTACAAAAATATCCATATATTCCATTTTAATCCTAGCTGTAGAAGCTAGGACAGTTTAGTATAGTTTGTGTATGGCATATGTTATAAGCTTTTGGGAACAGAATGCAAAAAATGTATTATTTTATTGTTTTAGAAGCATACAATTTTTATATTCATAAAACATAATTACATAATACTATGCGCACTTTAACAAAAATATTCTGATTATTATGATTTTGGTATATAACGTTAGCTTTAAAGTGACATTGAAAAACTATCAACTTATGAAAAATTAAAAGAGCAACATAAATTTCCATATTTTTAAAAATTATTCAACACCAAACCTTTCCAAAACTTCTAAGAAACAGCCACTTTAATAACTTAAATTAGCTTTATACAAAAAGTGGGTGTGTACAATTAACAGGCAGTCAGCTAAAAATATCAATATAAACAAATGCGCTTTTGTTCTCCGCGGGCTAAAGCATAATGCCCGGGCCGATTCCGACTCGGATTTATATGGGAGCGAGTGCTAAACAGATTGTCACCGCAAAGTGCAAAATGTAAAATGCAAAATGCGGAAATGCCTACCTGCGAGGCGCGTTACATAATTTCCACTCCAACTCTCTGTAATGTCGGGGAAGTTTCGGTCATTAAAAGCGGCAATTAAATTTTAACCATTTGGCCGCGTCGACTTGCAAATGCGCTCCGGTTTATGTTTCGATCTTGACTCGATATTGACCCAGTTAATGGGCCGCAAAATCCGGGGCGTGGGAGTCAGCGACGTCATCCCGGTAACTCGGCCTCCCGGCTGTCGTCATCCAAGGTGGTTAAATCCAGCGATGCGATCCAGATTCAGATTTAATAAACAGCGGCAGAGCAGAGTGCAGCCGGTTAGAGGATCGTTGTAACACTTACGCGATAAATTCTGAGCGTCAGCGATTTATAATTAGGCGCCGGGGGCCGGTTGGGAGTTTAATTTGGAATTTGGAAACTCAGACTCACAGTTTTTTATTTGTTTTCCGCTCCTCCCTTACAGTTCAATCTGTGCCGCTGGATGCTGTTGGTCCTCGGAGTTTCTTGTCTGATGGGCAGCTCATCGGGCAGTTACTGCTCTCTCGAGCGGATGAAGAAGTTCGCAATGGAGGCGTGTGAGCATCTGTTTCAACAGGATGAAGGTGCCCGCCGGGAAAGGAGATCCATTGAGTACGCCCATCACCATCTTAATCGACTGGGATGTAAGTATCTATACACACATTAAGGTTGCAGTTTATAGAAAACTCTTTCAAAATATTTAAGAAACAATCATAAACTTATAAATTCGTTTTCCTTAACTTAAATAATAAAAAGACATTTTAATTAATACTAAGAAATAATTTAAAGATATAAGGAAAAATATTATTAAAACAAATTAATAAGGTCAGAATGTCAGTCAACCCGACAATTGCATTCGGAAATGCATATCGAAAACACGTTTTTAAAAATGTGTAGATTGCAATTAATACGCGCATTACACCGGCATTTGCATAAAGCAGTTCCGATGCAAAAGTTAACCGATTTCAAGGCGCAGGTTCAAGATCAATTTGCTCACTCGCAACGTTTCCCCTTTTTCAGATGGCAAAACGCACAACAAGCACCACTATATCAGTCGGAGCAGTTATCCAATGGGTGGCTACCTGAAGGTGACCCGGGAGCACTTCAACCGTCTTAGTGAACTGGACGTCTTCCCACGCTACAAGCCGAATAAGTTGCACCATGAAAAGAAGCAGCGATTTAAGAGGGATCACTCGAGCAGAAGCTACAATAACATCCCCTACTGCTGCTTTAACCAGTGCGAGGAAGAGTTCTTCTGCTAAGTGACCTCTGGTTCTATGATCCACGTCGGTGCCATCTGGTCAGCCCCCTCTCTAACTCCGTCCTTAGCTATAGTTAGTTTGTAGATGTATATTTTACAAGTCGCGCTCACTCTTATAGAGTACCTTTTTTGTGCCCAATGCAAGGAACACAAATCCATTTACAGTATTTATACTCTTAGATTTAAGTTGAATATAAAATTGAATACAGCAATTGATTCTATTGATCAAAAATAAAATAGTTTTTATAAAGGTTCATTGGTACAATCACACATAATCTTTATCCAGAGATTCTCAAAGCACATCAGGAAAGGATGACAAACAATCATTGCGCCTTAAAGCAAATATACTACTTAGGCTTACAAACATAAAAAGATCATTGCTATCGTAAATATCAATCCGGTTGACAATTCTTTTTTGGCTATCACAAAAAGCTTACAAAAATGGTTTTTGAGAGGTTACAAATCTATTATTAGCTAGAATGATATTGATATCTGTACTTAATAACTACTTCAGCCTATATGGAGCTTATATAGTAAGCCCCTTTACAAACCGAGCATTTGTACTTGCGGCAATTATTTTCGCTAATCGGCTCCAGCGATCGAAAATACTTGGAAACCATCAGCAGAATTTCTTCGCGACGGGTCTGAAGAAAGTCCTCTGCAAAGTTGTCAAAGGTGTTGACGCTGTGCATCAGAATGCGAAAGAGAACTGCTTCCGTGGAAACGAACGTATTCAGAGTGCGATCAATGGAATCCACATTTTCCTCGACGAAAGTGCGAGTCATCTGCATAAGGATTTGAATTGCCTGATCACTAAAGTATCTAGCCATGCCTTCTAAGACATCTGTAAAACTGGCTACATTCCCTATGTGTTCAACAAATTTGGCGCCAAACTTTTGGGCCAATATATCCAGGTTAACGAGCATTTGACCGCCACTACCCAAACTCACAATTTGAGGAAGCAAAGTGGTGGCCAACGAGACTCCCTTACTCAGGTGCGAGTTGATACTATGAAGGTTGAGCAATGCCTCCTTAAAGGGTATATCGTTGAGGGTTCGAATAATATCAAACTGACCAGTTTCGTTGTGCAACTTAATAGTCTCTTGGGAGATTCGCTTAAAGACTTTTCTGCAAGCCAAGAAAATCTAAGTAAAATAAAGAATTTGGTAAATGAAGAAATAACTTGCCTGGTTTGATTGCGAAGAGCTTGTCTTAAGGAAGAGCCGTTGGTGGCTTTGGAAACTATGCGCATGTTGTTGATGGAATGAGTAAAGGTCACCAGGTGCGAGGCCATCTGCAGCATATCTAAGCTATTTATGACTTGATCATCACCAATTTTCTAAGGCACAGAAATAGTTAATAAATAGCTAAATGGGATTCAGTTCAAAGGAGAAAACTTACCAAATACATATCGTAAACGCCATTAACCACTCCCGTTCCGGCGATGACCACCGAGGCACCATTTATGCCCTTTACGGCCAACTGGGCAGCGGGGTTCACTCTATAACCAGCACCCGCTGCCGTGGCCAGAGCTTTGGTGGCTCCAGTGGCCCCCAAACTCACGACGCCTCCCGCCACGCCAAGCCAGGAGCTGCGTGCTTCACCATCCGTAATGCTGGTAGACTGTCCATGCCGTCGACGATCGATGAGTTGGGAAGCTGAGCGCAGGGTGGTATACACACCGGTGGCAACGCCGACAGCGGTGGCAGCAATCACTAGAGGAGCGCCAAGCGGCACCGTCAAAGCAGCTGCAACCGGAACACTGGCAACCAGACCACCAACGGTGGCCACTTTATCTCCGGCATTAAGAAATCTGTATCTGCCACGCGTTGACGGTGTGGGATGGACCATCAACTGGACGGCAGGCTCCTCGTCTCCCGTGAATGTGTAGACTCCTTGGCTGGGGGCAATCATCAAGCCTTTGGGCAGGGTGTTCCGGAAGACGTATTGTTCCCAGTTGGAGTACACTCGTGCATTTTCATCTACAAATATCATGCAGCAGGCGGCACTGTTTTCGCCTTTCATGCAGCGACGTGTGCGGAAAACCGGATGACAGCTGTAGTTGGTGGACTGCAAGGCTAATTCCGGGTCAGTTTCCGTCGTGACTAGCACGTAGATGATGGCAGATAGTAAAGTGCCATTAGTAAAACGACGTTGTTGCCAAATATTCCGAAAAAGTTGATCCCGCTTTTGTTGGATGGCCCTAGCATTGCGAGCATCATCGTCGCGGATCAAGTTTTCTATCTTCTGCTTAAGGACATCCGCCTGATCCGCGGCTAGCCTTCAGATTAGAATTTATACATATTAGTTAGGTAAGTCTGAATATTCAGATAATTGCATAACTTACGAATCCCAAATAATTTCCGAACGCAGCCCGCTGCTGAAGCCAAAATCCTTTTGCACTTCGTAGGCCGAGCGAGAGAATTGAGTTTTCTTTGCTTCCCCCATCACCTATGGTTCCACATTCAAGGACTCAATCGCGATAATCATATGTATCGCAGGTATAATATATTTAATTTAATTTAGAGGCTGTATCTTAATGTTTAATCAATGTTAAAAGTATACTTTCGTTTCCATGACAATTCAACAAAGCTGGCGCGAAATAATCGATGAGATCTAACGATGCCTGCAAGCTAAGCGATATAGTGTTATCGATTCGTACCGGGTAATTTGAATTTTTATTTTTTATTTGTCGTTTTCCATCAATATCTATAAAAATGCTATTAGTTATATGGTATAGCTAGTAATTTACTGTATTTATTTATATTTAAATTCCCATTTTATATTTAAATGGTTTAAATTACATGCTTCATGAAGTCGTAAAAAGGTCCTACGAAGACGTGTGTAAATAAATATTACATAAAAGAAACATTTTATTAATGCCCAGAGAAGATCGTAAAACCAGTGAAACATTTAATTTTAATATGGTAGGACTTTATTTATTGTACACTTAAAAGTTAGTCATACAAAAACATTGCAAAGGCCACGGTTAAGTCTGTTTTAAAAATTGGGTAGGCAAAAGGGCCATTGGCAAGCTATTTTCGGGATTAAAAATCATCAACAAGATTAGTTAACAACGAATTAAAAGGTAAAATGAACGTTAATAAACGTATTGCATTGAAGTTGTGAGTCTATCAGTTGGTTAACAATAAAAACATTTGTTTACAATTGAAATTGGCTGCCATTAAATTCGAGTAATAAAAGGGCCCTAGGACCAGCCGCCTGTCAGCTTGTGGAAGAGTTCCTCGTTAAGGGTCTGGTTGTTTTCCTTGGAGCGCATCGACATGAAGATGTAGCCACCGATGAACTCGTGTACCACCTTGCAGTCGGCTGAGTGACAAGAGAAGACCACGTTCTCGTCCTCGAACTGGATCATCATGCACTTAATGTTCCAGTTAACATTCCAGGCCTTCATCGTGTTATACCGCCATGTCTTTATGTGATCTCCTGAACTCAGATCCATGCGCATGATGCGATTGTGAGCTACGCCCAGCAGCTCTTCCTTCCGATGTCCATCAAACTTAATGATGAACAGGGTGACTCCGAAGTCTGGCAGCGATCTCCAAGCCTGGATGTACTTCATCTTGGAGTCTAGGGGATTGAGCTCCCTCACGTTGGCATGGGCTTCAAGAATCCGCTGAACTGCCTTGTTGGATAGTTTACGAAGGATCTTGGGTGACAGATAATCAACTGCTTCTACGGATCGAGGATCAATGTTCACATGTATGCCATGCACGGGTCGCTGCATCTGTAGCAGCGAAAGTATACCATCCACTTCACTCTCGTACGAGCTGTCCGCGAGGGATCTTCCCTTGGCCGCCAGTCGACAGGCAGCCATCCACTTAGCATACTGCTGTTCGTTCTCGCAGCGCACCCACACTTCACTGTTGGTTCCGTGTCCACCGTTCGGAGGAACCTCTAGGCGAATCGCATACCTGCCCTGCGAGAGGTTTACATCCGGGTTGACCTCACAGCCTTTCAGGTTAATGCTTATAGCCGGTGCAACGCGACGCGACTCCTCAGCGTTTTTGAACAAGTGCAAATGCAGATCCCGATAGGTGAAGTAATATCGCTTGTAACCACGCAGCGTAAATCTCTGCGGCTTAAGATACCGCAAATAATCCGATAGCTCCGGTATGCGTGTGATATTCCTCGGATCTCCCCCGAAATCGGGTCCCTCCAGAGTGATCTGCAGCTCTTTGAGAGCCGAATCGATTTCATCTTCATTGTCGTTTTCCTGGCTGGATGTTTCAATCCCTGAATCCACAGTTCCACCATGGGGAGAGGAATCTATGTGATGATTAACCTGGAATTGTAAGGCTGCAAACATGAGGCTCTCCTCCTCAGTACAGTCCAGTTCTTCGTTTAACACACTCCATTTAGCCTGCTCGTACAACTGATTAATACGCACCTGGTCGCACCTGGGATTCAGGTCAAAGAAGGTAAAGTACTTGAAGCGAAGGCACAGAGTGTCGTACTCCCGGATGCCCTGTTCCATGATGGACAACGATGAGTCCAGCCAGCCCACATTCAGGCGAGCCTTCTCCACCAGCGACTTGGGGCGCAATTGAAGGGCTCGGACATCCGAGCAGGGTGTGGGCGGTGAGCTGGCCAGATTCTCTTGGAAGTCGCCGAGACTTGAGGAGCTCGAATCGTAGGTGGCATAGCCGAGTTGGCTCTGCTTCCACGTGCCAGGGGAAGGTGTGGGCGGTGCCACGGGCGAACGTGCTCGGTGATTGTGTGGCGACAGTGGAGCACAGAAGAAGGATCCTGGAGCAGAGGGCTTGTCCAAGCTGCCAGTGCTACCGCCTTCTCCGTGAAACGATGTGCTGATAGGCACAAAAGAGTTTGTATCTGCAGCCGGCTGAAGATATGTAGTGCCATCAGGTTCGGCGATGGGCACACGCTTTTGGTGCGGCACCTGAGCAAAGTTTCGTTTAAGGTGCTCCGCCTCGAGAGGTTTGCATAGGGAGAGCTCTTCCGGATAACGGATGTCCAGCTGCTTGCATAGATTCACCACCGCGGAGAAGGTTTTTACGGAATAATCTACCCGACAGTCGAGATATCTTAAGTCAGGAAGTTGCACCCTCAATATCTTGTGCATGGGCGTGAAGTGCAGCAGACTGTCTGCCTGGACACCACACTGATCAAGGGTTAATCTCGTTCTGCTAAGCCATACATTCCTAGCAGGCCACCATAGAGCATGATCCGACCAATCTTTAGGATTCTCTGGATCCACCAACTGCAACATTATCCCTCCAATGTGCTGGTCACCGCGCACGCGCATCGTCTTCTCCAGCGCCAGATCGGTGATGAAGATCCGCAGATTCCATGAGTTCTCGCCGACGTGGATCATGTTTCTGCAGTGATGTCACCTGTCCTACTTTCTGAGGCTTTTCTGGGGCGTTTCTAGGTCGTCCTTGGCTGGGCGCCCACTGTAAAATCAAGAGTTTTCCACCGATCACCGCACAGATGGTCGCCTTATTCTCATTTCCCACACTCTGACGCAATTCACGGGCCGCAAATACTTTGCGATTGCGTTGCCTAGGCTGCAATGATTCCGGATCCGGACAATTGCATCGATTCGTTTCGCTTGCGTAAATAGAGCAATTAAAGAAAATTCAGTCCATTGAAAAAGAAAGCGCCGAAGCAACTGGTTGATCAGTGTGACCAGTTTTTAAATCAGAAAAAAAAGCTATTTCTGTTTAAGGGTTCTCGATAAAAGCTATAGCTAATATCGATTTTTTTTTGCGCACAGAAATGTAAAATTTAAAATTCATTAAAAATATTTTAAATTGAAAAATATGAAGAAAAAACTAAAGTATAAAAAAAGTTATTCTTTTAGATTCTATTTTTATATTTTAACTATTTCAAAAATATTACAAACCTTGATAAACTAAATACAATTTTCTTTTTTAATTTCAGACCAAGGAGTAAACTTCTCTTTAAAAAATAACCATTTTTGTTTTTACTTTCTTACAGCTAATCAGTGAATATTCAAATAAAATGTGTTCCTCATCGTGTTTAATCTTTAAAATAATGTTTCTAATATCATCATCATTACAATAAAATTGAATGACCTAGAACGCTAGTTTGAAAAATTCCGTTAGTAAATAATTTCCAAACGCTGTTGTCGCCTGGCCTTTGGGCTCAAGGTAATCAAATTGAATTTACTTAATTTGAGTTCAATTGGTAATTTTTAAAATTATAGGGAGACACGCAGGGTAACCGCAACAGATGGCTCTCTATAAAAGCGCTGGTCACTGATACGGTTAATAGCATACGATCCATAGGAAAATGGGGCATTCCAGTTTTCGTCTGGCTATGTGGCAAATCTCGTTGGTGGTTGCAGTGATGTGCACCACTTGCATCCGGGTGGAAGGACTACCTCATCCGCCAGCTACCTCAGCGGCACCAATGATGGAAAGGATGGTGGAAAAGGCCTATGACGACAAGTTCGATAATGTTGACCTGGACGAGATCCTAAACCAAGAGCGTCTCTTGATCAACTACATAAAGTGCCTGGAAGGCACTGGGCCTTGCACTCCCGATGCCCAAATGCTAAAGGGTATGTCACAGTCCAATATTACTTAATGGTAATATCCCCACAATCCCTTGTAGAAATCCTACCCGACGCGATCCAAACCGATTGCACCAAATGCACGGAGAAGCAGAGGTATGGTGCTGAAAAAGTGACCCGTCATCTTATCGACAACCGTCCCACGGACTGGGAACGCCTGGAGAAGATTTACGATCCTGAGGGACTCTACCGCATCAAATACCAGGAGATGAAGGCCAAAGGCAATGAGGAGCGTTGATCAACCTTTGCTGTAGGTGTTCTCCATAGTTTTTATTCTTCTTTACCTACCAAATAAACTGCAAAGAAGCTTCAACTTTTAACTTTTTTATAATTTTGGTTATACGAGTAGATTTTTGCAAAAACTTAGAGGAAGTTGATCTTCGAAATTATCAAATAACTGCAGGAATTTCGAAATTTAGCTATTTTTTCCTTACCAGAAAATAAACAAATATATTTTAATAATGGTAAACATTTTGTGTATAACTTATTATATTAACGCCTTGCTAGACAGGGCACAAGTTTTACTGTCTCGATTATCTCATCGATAGACTAGCAATCGGAGGCGCCATGGCAACCAGTTTCAAGGACCCTCGATTCCAGAATAAACCCCAACAACGCAGCAGTCGGCGGAGCAAACAATAAACAATCATCAAACATCAGGCGTAACCACAGCAGCAGGCACTTGGTTTTCAGTTATATTTCGACATCACCTCGCACCGGCTCTCTATCCTTTCTATACACTAAACATCCGAATTAGCCTCTGAAAATTATTAGCTTTTTCCAGCTATCTCAGTGATATCCTGCGGAACAACGGCAGGATCTTAGATGGTATCGCCGCGCAAGCCGGCATCGTCTTACGGTCCAAGAGCACCCCGCTTTGAAGCAAATAACCTGATGGCGTGGGTAGACTTCTTAATACGGGAGTAAACTCATTAAAAACCTATGTTATCCTTTTCTCTAGAGCATCGGCGAAGAGTTGCGAGAGCCTGTTCTCGGCCAGCTCCAGGGAATCGGCCAGTTTAATATACCAGCGGAGCAAGCCACCTCCGCAACAACGTGGCGGAATGAAGGGTTCCAGTGGCAGCCATCAGACGATGGCTTCCCAAAATCACAGCGAGATTCATCAGCGGGTCATGTCGGCAAGGAATCTGCGCGCCAAGACCTTTCAAAATCAATTAGCTGATGCCCAGGCGGAGATCTCAAATCTGGCGCATGAAAATCGCATGCTGCGCACCCTCCACAAACGTCAGTCCTCTGCGCTAAACAAGTACGAGTCCAACAATGCCGAGCTGCCGCAGTTGCTTCACTCCCACGCCGAAGAGCTCCGGGTTTGGCAGACCAAGTACCGGAATCTACAGACCGTCAATAAGGATCTGGAGTTAAAACTCAAGCAGAAGGAGGCCATTATCCTGTCGCTGAGCGATCAGAATAAGCACTACAGCCAGCTAAACAAGGACAAGTATGTAATCGGACCAGGACTTAATTCTTTTATAATTAACATATAAAATAAACCTTTAGAAACCTTGACGAAAGACAGAAACTTCAGGAGAAGCTAAAATCACTGGAACAGCGCTTGGAGGACAAGGATAACGACATGAAGTTGATGGCCCGAAAGGTCCAATTGGAGTCTAAGAACTTCCGCCAGCAGTTGCTCAATGAGCAAAAGAAAGGAAAGGAGGTAATGCTAAAGCTGGAGAAAGCCAAACTCGAGATCAGTGGCTACCGAAAGCTAGAAGAGTATACTGTAAGTAAAACTGGTAGATATATACAACCATATCTGATTTATATTAATTTAGCTTGGAACTGATAAGATTAATCCCTTGTCCGCTGGACGCCGTACAAAGTTAAACGGCGTCACCGAGGATCCGGACAAGATTGACAAACTAGAGAAGTCACTGGAGATGCTGGACAAGGCCATTGAGAGGAACAATCAGAGCGATTTCAACGCCCTAACGGATGTCATGGAGTCGGAATCGTTCTTTGACTTTGAAAAGGACAGTGCAGAGGACAAGAGTAGCGGGCCGAATTCTCCGCCTGGTCACCCAAAACGACAGGCTGGAGGACGTGGGGGCAAGCTCGTTTTACCTCCTGCCACCAATCAGGCAAAGATCGGTCAGAGCCTTAATCGTTCCACTTTAAGCCAAGTGCTTTCTGCCCAGGGAAAGATTCCAGTAGCTTCTGCAAAAGCTAATAAATCTAAGATTGGCATCGGGGCTCCCAAGATGGATAGTGCCCAGGCCAGCAAGCGTCGTGAACCGGAATCCCTATCCAGACTGTCATCCGCTGAGGTAAAACCAAAACAGAAATCTCTAAAATCCCTGGAGTACGAGTACGATGATGACTATGAGCCAGCAGATGTAGATGAAGATGACGATGCTTATGGCTTGATGAACAAGATGTGCGACGAAGGCGATGAGCCCGAGGAGAATAGCGAAGAGAATGCCAACGATGACAGTCTGGTTAAATATGCCTCTTACCTGGACGTCAAGAGCAACGAGTGTGATCCGTTGGAAGAATCGGTGGAGGACGACGAGGAAACTGATGGTCAAAATACGCAGCGCAGCGACGATGAGGTGACATCAATGTTATTCCTTTGTTATTCATATTCTTTAACCTCTTTTGCCAGTCCCAGGATGACAGTGTTCGTGGTCCGCGTCTCAAAGAGAACATGTCCAGCTTGCGTAAGCAGATCTCGGATGACTACAAGGAGCGTGAGAGCTTCCTGAAGACGTTCTGCCGTCAGGCGAGCAACAGCAATATGCGCGACGATCCGGCGCCCAAGAAACGTAACAGCATCGCCACCGGAGCGGCGACCAGTAGCCACATGACCGGCAGTCGTAAGCACGCCCTTTTGGCCGCTTTAAAGACGATCGACGATAACAAGAGCCAGGACTAGAATACACCATGTTAGTTCCACCCATGTCCAGTTCATGTTAGTCCCTAAGCGGTGTTGAGTTATATATATATATTTTTCAAGCTGAGACCGGTGCCTTCGGCCCAGCTGGAGTAGCTGCATCAGCGGCTGGCCAAAAGGCATTGAATCCAGCGGTTGCTGCAGTTGCTCCAGCGCTGGAAGCATGGGAGTTAAGTAAATTTTAATACAAATATATCAGTGTTTGGTGCTTAAGTTAAAGGACTGGGTTTTGGAGAAGGATCTACATCAACATTCTTTTTATATTTTTAAAAACGATTTATTTAGATTTTACATTATATTTTATACAGCAAAATATCTAAGAATTGTCCATACATACGATTTTCAAAAAGCTTCTCCACCTTAACACACAATCAAGTAGACTGCTTTCCTCGCATCTTGCTGATAGCCCGCGACACCTTCTTGCGCAGCTCCTTTTGACGGCGCTCCTTGGAGGCCATCTTCTCCCTTTTCTTCTCGCGGTAGTTCTTGATTCTCTTCTTCATCTCCAAGCGTTCCCGATTCCTCTTAGCCCTATAGTTCGTCTCGATCATCTTCATCATCTTGGCCACCTTCTGCTCGTACGGAGAGTTAACTACTGCAACACGTTCCAACGGCGCCTTGGGGTTCTCCGGTCCAAGCTTGGGCTTGTCCTTGTACGGCAAAGCCCTTTGAAGGGCCTTGGGTATTTTGAGTGGCCTAAAGATCTTTTCCTTGCGCACGACCTCCGTGTACATACTGTCCGGCTGGGCTTCGTTCTGCATTGCTCTCTCCCGTTTAAGCTGACCCAACGTCTTCATGCCCTGCCACTGGCTCTTCTGCTCCAGCGGTAATAGCAGTGAGGTCACCGGAGCATAGAACCGAGGAACTTCCACGCGGAACCAAGTGCGGCAAAAGACTATGTCGCTCATAAGAATCTTGTCCTCGAAGGTAGCGCGATAGGATCCCTCGGGCGTGTGATGAGCCTTCTTAATCTGTCCACGTATTCCAGAGACGGTTTTGATCTTGGCTCCTTCAAACTTGGCCACTTCCAGCGAAGAGTTGAACATGTCCTTCACAAAAGCTGTCTTCTTGTAGATCTTAAAAGGATGTCCCACTAGCTTGAGCTTCTTCATGATCTGTGAGGATTTGTCCAGCTCGGTGACACAGCCAGTGGCTGCTATCCGGAAGCCCAGCCGACGCATTTCCTCCTGATCCTGACGCACAGTCTGCAATGCTAGGAAGCCAGTATTTTGTGGAGTAATTGGACCCCAGAAGGTCATGCTGCAGGTGACATGGTTGGGCGTATACTTGAGGTATCGCTGACGGAAATTGTCCTCCACCTTAGCATAGATGGCCACGGTTTGGAAACGGCGCCAGCCCATGGAAATGATTAAAGGATCACCAGTTTTAAGGATCTTCTTGTACCAACGGTGCTTCTTCACCTTGCAGTTGACATAGCCAACGTTCTCCTCAGTCATATTTAAGGCACCAACAAGGACGGGATAACTGGCATCGAAATTTTCCACAAACTCGGCGGGGAGATGCTTAAATCCTAAGCGGACGTAAAGACCCGGTCGGTAGCCTTCGATCTGGATGCGGAACTCATTGTCCAGGTGGGCAAACTCGCTTTTATTCAGCTCGCTCTGCCGCTGAGCTTCCGCCTTAAGGTCTTCGTAGAATGAGTGATCGCCGGTAATACGTCCGGTATCCTCTTCGCCCTTGCCCTCGCCGCTGTTGTCATACTCCGCATCAAACTTGGCCTTTAACTTTAGTTTTTTAGCCATCAGTTCTGCCTTGGTGAGGTTTTCCTCCTCCACGCGGGTAAGTTTGCGTTTGGCTGCTCCAGCTTCTCCAGGTTTCGAACTCTCTTCATTCGACTCCGCGTCATTTTCGTCTGTCTTAGGTTTGCCACTGTGCTGCTCACCCGTTTCCAGATCTTCAAAGTCCCCATATACCTCGCTATCGGCGTCACTCATGTCGTCCATCTTTAACAGATTCTCTGCATCCTCGCTGGCCTTCCATTTGCCGGTAACGAAGCAGTTCTTAATAAGATCTTTATTGCCTTCCGACAGCCAATCACGAGTGGCATCTGTTCATAAAATATTATTATATCATAAAATCATTACAGACTTATCGTAAAAACTTACCACCCTGATACTCGAAGAAACATCGCTCGTCCTTATCCCTGATGTCCTTGTCCGATTGTTGCTGAGTCTGCTTTTTAGCTGCCACCCGGAAAAGCCCACCTAGCTCCTCTTCGGAGTCTTCATTTTCTTCTGCTTCCGCCTCTTGTCTGTTTCGTTCACCTTGATTATAAACACCGTAAACAAGGCGCATCAGGTTCTTGGATTCCGAATGACGTTGAAGGAAAGCGTCACGAGCCTTCTGGGCCAGGTTTGTCTTCCAGCTCATGTTGCTGGCAAGGACGCGAGCCTCCTCATCGTCAGAATCGGATTCATTGGCAGTTTTTACATTCCCCAGACTTTGATACTCCTCGTCGCCAGAAGAAGCATCCTCCTGCTCATCATCTTCTTCGCTGTTCTCGCCACGCCAATCGTCAGCACCAAACTCATCCTGTTCATCCTCACTGTCAGCAGCATCCAAACCAGAATCCTCGGCTTCTTCATCATCTTCGCTGCTTTCTTCCCCCTCCTCCTCACCGTCGTCCTGATCATTACGGAAATCCTTTGACTTGATTGGCATGGCATCAGAGAAAAGACGGAACTCCTGCTGCTCCATCTGCTCATCAATGGTGGCCTTCTTATCGATCAGCTTGCTGACGAGTTCCGCCTGCTCGGCAGCCTCGGCGGACTGTTCTTGCTCCTTGTGCGAATGGGAACCCTGCAGCTCGATATATACTGCATCCTTGTCGTAGACAATACCTCCGACGCCGGACATGGGGGCGTACAGCAAACGCTCCTTCTCTAACAAACTACGTTTCTTTTCTGTTCCAGGTAGAGGACAAGGATCGGGTATGGCGCTCAACTCATCGATGCGAGCATCTCCCAGTCCAGCAATGTGAACCATGTGCTCCTGCTTCAATGGTACTCCTCTGACATAGCCGTAGAGTACAACCTCCCGATCGCATTTGGGGTCCCTGCGCACTCGATCCGTGTTTGTGACATCCTCTAGACGATCCACAAGCAGATAACTATGTGCTCCTCGCCACTGCAGCGGCCTAAACTTCATCACAGAGATAAAGCGTCCCAGGTTCTTCACTTCATTTCGCAAGTACTCGCCATGGAGAAGACCCGAAAGGTAGAAAAGCTTGGCGCCATCATAGACTTCCGTCCAGAAACGGTGCTTCAGCTCCTTCTTGCGTTTCCTTAGCTGCTTAGGATTCTTGATCATGTCCAGGTGTGTAAGCACACCCATAATCTTTGGCATGCCGTGCACCTGGCAAATGTTCAAAAACTCGAAGATCTCCATCTCAAATCCGTAGCTCGCGTCGCAAAGCAACAAAACCAGATCGGCGCATTTGGCCACATCGATCATAGAGTTGACATCGTTGTTACATTCAAGTAGGGTTATCCGACGCTTTTTGGAGGTCACAATGGTAATAGGGCCCTTAATATCGGTGACATTGGTGCGGGTGAAACTCTTGATCAAGTCCTTGATCAGCGTTGTCTTGCCCACTTTGGGCGGACCCACCACTGCAATCAGGACGGGTGGTGGTACGTCTGGAGTTTGATCAACAACCGGAATATGCTGCTTTTTGGCCGTAAGGTCCTCCTTGCGCCGAAAGTTCCTCTCTGCCCGCTGCGCTGAGTTGATAGCGAATGCCTTGGGATTCCTCTGCCTAGCGGTCAACTCTGGATCTTTTTGGTTGGATTCTTTTTTGGCCTTCAGCTTTTTCTTATCCGCCTTTACGCCGGACTGGCGGGCGCGGTGCTGCTTGCGCTTGTCCTGGCCGGCATCGTCGGCCATAGTTAAAGCGAATTTAAGGCTTAAATTATCAAATTATTCGCTGTTTACGCGCTGCACGTGGAGGACAGTGTGACCGAATAACGTCGATAAAATAATGTAATGTCGCCTATTACAATATTTGAAATTAAAGTCTTTAAAACTTTTACTAAATAATTATTTTTATAGTAATTTTGAAAATATTTCGAGTACAAATAGAAATTAGAACTAAATGGAACGTGACAAAAGAAAACAAATCTATAACAGCTTTCAAGGTTGTAATGCCTATGGGTAACATTTTGATACTGCTTAAGAAAATAAAACAAACATATAGGGACTTACAATTTTATTCTTGTCAGAATAAGCTATATAGTGTTCTGGGATACATCTGTCTATTAATTGGAATGCTTTTTATTTATAGAATTCATTTTTATATTGTGATCGTATCATCCATCCCTATTCGAATATTTCAGAGGGCCATCACTAGCCAGGGAGCAGTAGCGGCGTTTCGCGGTGAGCGCTTTTTCGGTATTTCGCCTCATACACGGTCACACCACCGCACTGTGGATTTTTCGCAATTTGATATTAATTTTATTTAATCGGATCGAGCAAAATGTTTCTCACACAAGTCTGCAAGCCCTAGGCACTTGCTTTAAGTTCAACTACAGTCGGTTTGCTGGTGCAGCCCTTCACCTACGCAGGTGAAAAACGTAGAGAAACGACCAGAGCCCTGGTGAAACAGAGGCGGCGAAGGAGTGTCGTTGAAGAGGGAGGAGCAGAGGCGGCGAAAGGCAAAAGTCTTTTAAGGCGAACTAACACAAAAGCCAGGTAACTTAAGGTAAATTCAGGGAAATTGGGGACAGCTGAGATTTTCGGCCGGCAGAGAATGGGGTAACTACTAGGGGGGAATGGCTGGGTGTCGGAGGATTGTGGGTGGTGGTACCCTTTCGGTTTGCAAAATCCTCGTCCGCGCCCGCCGACCTTGCCCTTCTATCGATTTCCGAAAAATTGCATCAAGCCAGATGCACAAAAAATCACAGCTGAAGGTTAAACTTTTGTATCGGATCAGGGCCAAAATCAAATACCACCACCATCTCTATTCTTTGTTCTTTAGAAGGCGTAGAACAAATAAAGAATAAAGACAACCCAGCTCCTATATATATATATAAATGTATATATGTATATTTATTTCTTTATATATATGCATTGCTAAAAATCGACAAGCATACATTGTTTTTTGTAATATATGCTCAGAATATATGTATATATACTCACATGGCCATTTACCTTTGCTTTTGCAGCCATGGAGAGTCCTTGTGAATCTGAAAGTTCGCTGGATGGCGGCACCATGCTCCCCCCGAGTCCAGTTTCCCGAGAGCAGCTCCAGAAGAGGATCGAATCGCTGACCCAGCAAAACAAGTGAGTCACCCTCGTTTAATGCATTTCCATTTTCCCTGAATTCATATGATCCTATGCTTCTAGGGTGCTGAAAGCTGAGCTGGACACTTTCAAGACCAAGTGCAAGGTGGTACAGGAGGAGAATCGCTGCCTCAAACAGGCCTCTGTCATCATTGTACGTATACTTAAAATCTATGATCACTTTTGTACATGCTGCCACCGTGTTTCTAGAAACGATAAATCATTAATTAATTAATAGTTTTCTATTTTGAAAAGAAAAGACTATTCAATATTAAATTCGAAATACATCCCAATTATCTTATAAAAATCTAAATTTGTTTCCACAATTCACAGCAAGCCAAAGCCGAGCAGGAGGAGGAGTATATCTCAAACACGCTACTAAAGAAGATCCAGGCGCTTAAGAAGGAGAAGGAGACATTAGCACACCACTACGAGCGCGAGGAGGAGTGCCTGACCAACGATCTCTCCCGGAAGCTCGACCAGCTGCGACAGGAGAAATGCAAGCTGGAGCAAACACTCGAGCAAGAGCAGGAGTGCCTTGTTAACAAGCTCATGCGCAAAATTGAAAAGCTCCAGGCGGAGACTGACAACAAGCAGACAAACCTCGAACAGCTCCGTCGTGAAATGGTCGAGCTGGAGAACACACTAGAGCAGGAGCAGGAGGCTCTCGTGAACAAGCTGTGGAAGCGTATGGATAAACTGGAGACAGAGAAGCGTTCGTTGCAAATCAAGCTGGATCAGCCCGTCTCCGATCCGACCACGCCACGAGACATCTCAAACAATGCCCATGCTAACGGCGGCGATACGGCCACCAGTTTGAGTGCTCACATCCAGACTCTGCGCTCGGAAGTGCTGCGTTATCGTTCGGATTTGGCCGCTGCCCAGAAAGAGGCCACCATCAAAACGCAGCAGTATGCACAGGAAGAGAAATCCATACGGGAGGAGAATGCCCGCTTGCAGCGTAAGCTAAAGCAGGAGGTGGAACGTCGGGAGGCCCTGTGCCGGCACCTTTCCGAGTCGGAATCCTCACTAGAGATGGATGAGGAGCGCTTTTACAACGAAAACCTGATGGCTGGCGGTTCCTTTGCAGTAGCAAATGCGGCAGCGGCGGCCGCAGCATCGGCTGTCAGTGCCCAGCGGCAGCGCACCATCAGTAGTCCCGTCTCCCACAGTCCCTCGAGCAGCCGGCCCCTCAGTCCGGGCAATGCGGTACAAAACCGTTGCTACGCCTGCGGCCAGCTTGTGGTGAGTTTGGTATGAACGTTTTCAGTTTCAAGTTTTAAAATATTTTATTTGTAGAATCGTCGTGCTAGCGAACGCTTTATCAAGCCAGCACTGCCAACGCCCATGCTGGGCCTAAACACTTCCGCACCCAATGTGCTTACATCTACGAACCCCCTGCTCGGCATCATGGGCACCGGCGGCAGCTCCTCTTCGTCGGCTTCTGTGTCAGCTGGGAATGCCGCAGGCGGCTTTCTCTCGAATTTAGGCGGCGAACGCCTTAGTTTGGGTTCGATGCCTTCGTCTGGCGGCAGTGCCACCTTTCTGGCTGGAGGGGGTGGAGGAGGACTGCTGGCACAGCTCACCGGTAACTCCAGTGCATCGTCGTCGTCGTCCAATTTGATGAACATCAGCCTGAACAACTCGTCCAGCGGCAACCTGGTCAACAGTAGCAGCAACTCCTCACTGTCGGCGTTCACGCCAACCAATCCGCCCAGCTCGGCGGCCACGGCCTTCATCCAGCCAGCCAGTCCAATGGACACGTCCACCTGCAAGGATTAGGAGGATGCAGGTGCTCTGCCACCGGGATACAGAAGGAGGTCATGACTTATTTTCACTTTCACACACTACACGAAAACACACACTATATTCATAAACACGCACGCATGCAAGCCACCAGTTTAACGACGGTAAAAAAGTAAGAAAACATAGAGAAAAGTTGAGAAAGTAACTATCGTAAGCTTCTCCAAGGCGCGACTCAAAGTCGCCTCATTTATATATGGTTAATATGTATATGTATGTTCTATTTGATCAAAATCTCTTAAAAAACCTTTCAATATTGGAATTCCTAAGCGAACGAATATTTAACGCTAATGTTTAAGATTTAAATGTTTTCTACTTTCGCTCGGTTCCAGTTAAAGTTAAGTGAAACACATCTGATAATGAGGATTTGGAGGATATAGAGGATTTAGAGGAGGAGGATGGACAGCACACGCTAACCAGATCGTATGAATTTATAAAAACAGTGAATTCTATTCATGTCGAAACCATTTTCCCACAATTCCTTTGCATGTGGGTCTAAAAATTTTGAAGTATGTTTATGTAAGCCAACAAAAATAAAGTTCAACAATTTAAAATTAAAACAACTTGCTGAATACTGTTTAAAATTCAGGTTAATGGTTATTTGCTTGATAATAATTTTTTTAAGCTTTTGGGCTTATGGTTGATCCTAAAAATTACCCTATTAGGAGGTAACACAATATATTTTAAAAAATTTGACTAGTTTTTACATGCTTAAATGCAATTTAAATTTAAGAAATAACGTTTGCTCTAAGGAGAATCTTAGTTTTGGTAACACGTCATTTATAGAGAATCAAATGGCATTATTGCTTTTTGTCTCTTAAGGTTAGCCCTGAGACTTCGTTTTATAAGAAAAAGGTAAAATTGACATGGCTTAACTAAATCAATGATAAAATTACAGTTCTGTTCATACGATTTTTCAATTTTCAATTCAAATATCCGTTACACATTTAACTGCCGGTGTGGTAGCACTTGAATTAACACCTAAAAAACCCATAGCTTTGGTCATCTCGGTGTGTACACACAGGCGAGTAACAGCGGACAACTTCGCGTTGCAAAATGCTCTTGTTGTTTGTGTTTGTGTTTGTGATTGTAAATAAAAGAAGTAAAGGGCAAACAGTTAGCGCGAAACGAAACGAAACCTTTTAGGCCTGTCCAGAAACCAGAAACCACCTCTAGTGGGAGCAAACAGTGACCGTAGACGTAAATTGTTCAATTAAACCAAATGACTTGACTTTGATCCGCGCAGTCGTAAGAGAGACGGTAAAAAAAAAAGGTGGGCAGGAAGTGGGAAGTGCGATGGATGACAACAAAAAAAGTGTGTATTGGCCAAAAGAAGCTCGCATTGGTAGCAACAAAAACAACTACACGGAAAACCATTCTCACATACACATGGCACTCTTTAAACGCTGCCGCTCGCTCTCGCACTCTCTCTCATTCTCACACATTTGTTCACACACATAAACGTTGCGACGCGTCTCTTGCAAACTTTTTAAAGCGGACGCCAGCAATATTCGGTTCTCACTTCGATGTGGAACGGTAAAGAACCTGTGTCGTTTCCGCCGCGATTCGCAGAAATAAAACGAAAATAGCCAAATACATATTTTTCTCAATCAAATCTAATACCCACTGCAAGTGTGTATATGTGTACAGGAAAAGATCAGATAGATCAGAAGCAGTGCAAGAAGGAAAAGTGCAAAGCGAAAGTTTTGATTGTGCAGCATCCGTCATCTCACTCTGGCAGTCGCGCGTGTAACGGTAAACGTCTCTCTTTCTCAACAACAACATCAGCAGCAACACATTCCAAGGAAAACGAAAAAAGTGCGCTTTTGTCTGTGTGTGTTTCATTTCCATTTCGAAAATTCAATCTTGGATTTTGATTTTGATTGGCCAGATGTGTTTATTAAATGATTGCGCACAGTGTGTGTTATTATGGCCTTATTGAATAAACTCTTCTTTCCGTCGGCAACACCAACAACACCCGCGAATTTAGCGGCAGCGCCCACGCTGACCGCAGCAGCAGTGCTAATTAATAGCCAAACAACAATAGCAACTACAGGAACAACCACAACAAATTCAACAGCAACAACATTGCCGGCACGTACAACGCACGCCTCTGCCGGCGTCGCTGCCTCTGCTTCAGTAGGCAATAGTTCGTCGTCCGCAAAAGCTACAAAACAAACTTCGCGAAATTATCTAAGGTAAGTGTTTATCTGTTTAACAACAACCAAACCAACACCCGGTATTAGTGTATCGATAAAATGCGCACACAACAAAGGGAACCAAAAGAGGTGCAGCTGAAAAAAAACACACACACATGCGAAAAGGCGTTCTCATGATGCGTTTCACACTCTATACACCTATGCCCCGCCTCCCTCTCTTTTGCACCACCTGCGCTTCCTCTTCCCTTTGTTCGTACGCAAATTGGCAAAGCGTAAAACGAGGACGATAACCCAGCACACAAATTCGGCATACACTAGTCAAACGTCACGTACGCCGCCTGCGTTTTTTGATTTGATCTGAAATACTCACCATTATCTATCTATGGGCAAAAACCCGAAACGAAAATGCAAAATCTTAAGGGATTACAAAGATGCCGTTTGGTATTGCAGCTGTCTCGTAAACGTCACAAAGAAGGGGCATTGTCATGTTTCCTTTTGTCTTGAGGTATAAGAACTACAGTGGGCAATTGTTAAAAGACACACTTGGTACCTGAACTTGGAAATACAGATTTAAATTAAATGCTTTTAATTTAGAAAGGAAATTCTTTTACATCGAAGAATATAAAATTTGTCTAATGTTTCGGTTTTGTAAATTTGATTGATAAAAGCGTAAAATCCCTAAAATTCCTGTTATGTTCTTTAAAATGTGTTAATTAAATTTAAATTTAAATTATCACAGAACAATAATTTGGGCTTTCTTTTGTTGAACTACACACAATCTTAAGCTTCACTGTATATCGATAACGATAGCCTGCACCGAAAGCGACTCCAAGAACAACAACAAGCCCTAAATCACCCAACACCCCCAGCAGTGCATATTGGGTAGTCACGGTGGTTGCATGTGTGTGTGCAAGAAGGAGCGGTAATGTTTGGCTAATGCCGTTTCTTTCGCGCGCATTGCTCCACACCCATCGATTGAGCTGCGCGCGCAAATAACTGTGCCCCACTATGCTCTGCCGCTTCCCGTGCTCTTGGTGCCCCTCTCTCATTCCAACAAATTCGTTGATCGTTTCGTTCTCGGCTCTCTTCGTTATCGCTTCGGGTGTGTGCTATCCCTCTCACTCGCACTCCCGCAGCTGTAGGCGTACTGTTATGGACTTTTGCGGAGGAGTGGTGGAGAGAAGGCGACCGCAACGTCAGGCGCAAATGTAAATAAAAGCGAATCACATGACTTGCTAATCGGCGCGGCCTGCTCTCGTGATTATTATGTCATACACATTTGTTGTTGGCTCAGTGGCGCATTGCTTTTTTGTTGCTTTTGCGCTTAATTCATTTCATTATTATTTATTACACTATTTACTTATGCTGCTGCATACGGCGATTTACAATGTTGATTTCTGACACTTTACGCGTTACTTGTGCGTGGGTTCTGATTGTTGTTTCGGTTCCTGTAGTTGTGTCTGCGAGTGTAACTGTGATTGCGGGGCAGTAACAGCAAGATGCTTTGCTTACGATCAGCTGGCAGACACACCCACGTCCGCATTTATAGGAATGCTGTGAGTTTCTGCACCTCTGGATGTTTCCTATTAAATGTTTGTGGACTTAACACGGATAAGATTACAGTTCTGCGAAAGCTATTTATTTGTTTAGTTTAACGAAGGTTTTGACGTGTCAACTGTATTGGCAAAACAACTATTGTGTTTTGAGGTTTTGAAATTAGACTTTGCCCACTGTAAATCTGCCCGTACTTTACCATGCTATAACGATTTCACTTATTTTTCTCAGTTCTCCTCAACTGTACTTTTTTAAAGTTAAGAGAGTTTTTTATTTTTTTAGTTTAAGTAAAATTTTGTAGTTTTAGGATTAAAGTAATAAAGTTTGGTTTGAAGTAGTATACTAAATTAGAATACTAAAGAATTATTTCTTTCATATATAATTTAAAATATGAAGGTGATGCTTAATTTAGTCCATGAACTAGTAAACAGGTTAACCTTTTCGGATTTCTTATTTTTATATTCAATCAAATAGGTCCTAATCATTCTTGTTTGATAACGATCAGAGGCAACATTTTGTGACAACTCACGATGATAACTCGCGGATACCGCACTCTTTCGATATGCAAAAAAAAAAAACTAATTGATGACTAGACTCGGTGACATTTTGTTGACAGTGTCCATAAAATATTTCAATCGTTCTCCCATTTATTTTTTTTGGGGCCCCTAATCTGAGGGCCTGCTTTACCTGGTTAACTCGATTAGCGCCTCGTCCACGCTGTCAATCGGTCGCCTTATCGGTCAGACGCCGAGCTGGCATTTAAAATATATATAGCATAATGGTGAAATTGTCAGATTCAAGTGTGTATTGACCAATATTCGGGGTTGTATATACATTTATGGCCGCGTTTGTCGCCAACATTCGCCATCGTCATCACGTGATAGAAACTTTTCACTCTGCTAATTAAGCGACGCCAGCTTTTGGGGTTTTTGCACTTTGCCCACAAACACAGGCTCTCGCACTCGGAGAATAATTCTAATAATAATAATAAAAAACCTGTAAAGTGTAGACTGCCGACCCGACTAACTCCCCCTCAAAAAGCCCTCCCCGATACACCCCCTATTCCGACGCTATCTTTGTACTAGGTCAGGTTTTTTTTCGGATTTGCTGTAAACTAAACAAACGTTTACACTAATAGCAGTTAAAAAACTCTACTCGGACCAAATAAATGTATTTGTTTATTTGCTTAATTTAATTTGGTGACGACAATAAATTACGGCAGCACGCTTGGGTAAATTTCCACGACAGAATCTGAACCTACACTTATCGTTCATATTCCCAACCACTGGGCCCAAAAGAAATGATTTAAAAATACTTTCGGTCTCTTCTGATAGGCCGAGAGCTAAGAATAAAAAGCTGTTTGCGAAAAAACAGACATTATGGTTCACAATAAAGAAATGGTGAAATGCTGGAAATCAAGGTCTGGACACCTGATGTGAGTCAATCGGCGACGGTGGGGAGGGTGAATCATTTTCTTTGGACCCCGTCGTGACCATGTTTAGACATTTGCTAGCCAGTTGGTCACATGACAGTTTTTTTTGCTTAATTTCGCCTTGATATATGCATGATATAAACGCAAAAAAAAAAAACAAAAAAAAAAAGGCAAAAAATCCAAAACCAGACGCCTGGCATCATGTGCCTTTGAAGGCGTACATTCCTTAACCCAATTCGCAAGTCATTCGCCCGATATCCACCACATATGGCGTCCAAAAATACATATAGCCGTTATTAGCGAGCTGGTATTAATTCCCGATAAGTTCGGGGATTTCAGGCTATATACAAACTGTGATTTCATACACCCCTCGACTCTCTAGTACCCCACAATCGCCATGCGATCGATCTACAAGTGCGATTCGCAAGCTGACGTTCATTGGACTTTCACATGAATCCTCCAACGAATCCCCTCCAGCTACGCAAATCAAGCGAATTAGCACCTTTTGTGGAAAACTTTGGCCCAACAAAGTCTCATTATGTTCGGTGGACCAGGGCTTCAGGCACGTGTGAAACACAATAAAATACGCGTTCGATTGGCGATCAAACAAAGCCACACATATCAATCTTCCACAAAAAAATATTCACCGCTCTGAATGAACCATTATGGATGATTTCACTTAGAGCCTTAGGCAAATGAGTCGTAAATTGGTAGGGAATGAGAATTCATTAATAGTTTTTGATAACTGCCCGCCAATTGAATGGCCAAACACACGCCGGACGGCCAGACATCAATCAAAGTGGTTCGCACCAGGTGTGAACTTATTACATGGGCCGTAACGTTACGATGCGACGAGGAGCCGGTAAGGTAATAGAGTAGGATAGTAATAGACCAGGTGCCACCATGTCTGGCTCTAGTTTTCTAGCGGTGTGGGCCACATGTCAAGAGAGGTGTTATGCCCATCACAACGAAACAACCCCAGGTTCCGATTCCCTTGCCATTATCTCATAATCATCAGTGCAATTAAATATGTATAAGCGTATGATTGCGGGCGGAGCAGTCGGCACACAAACTTTAGTTATGTGCAAACAGAAATCAGCACATTTAAATGGCAGCGTTTCGAGTAGAGAGTGGAGTGGATTCGACTGGAATGGAATGGAATGAGGCGGGGCGGGTCGGTGTGAGGTGATGATGTGGTGCTTCATGTGCGAAGTCGCGTGGTCTGCCAAGTCATATGAGTAGTGAATCGTCGACGACGACGACGCCGTATCCAGTTTTTGTTGTTGCCTCGGGACCCGTTCCGATAGCAGGTGCACTTTGAAAAACAAATGTTTCTATTTTTTATTTAATTTTTAAAGTATTCACATAGTTACCTTAAAGAGTAATGTGCTTTTTATATATATTTTTTTGTTTTATTCAAATAATAACTTTTTAACGAAATTTCTTGATTATTTAGCACAACAGTAAATATTTATTAAATAAATGTTAATTTGATTATCAACAACAAGTATATATTTCACATAAATAACCAAATTTTATATTAAATATCTCAAAAAAAAAAAAATAGAGCATAGTTTATTTATCCTTTTCTTCTTATATATTCCACTTCTACTTCTTTTTGTTAAAACCCAACTCGAAATCAAGTTTACAGAAGCCTGAGTACTTGATATCTCAATCGGATTAGCATTGAACTTCAATAATTTGAACTTGAATAATAAAGTAAAACAAAATAATTCTATTATTGAGCTTTCAATGCCATGTATTGTTAGAAAATGCGGATTATAGACAACTAACTATGAAGTTTGATGTAGTTAAATAAAAAGGCTAATTAAAAATAAGTTAATTTATATTAGAAAATATTATAGTTACTCCGCTTCTTTGCCAGTGTAGACATTAGCGCTTCTCTGTCTGTGCACTGGCCCTGTTGTCACCCATTATCAGTTGACAAAACGCTTTTGTTTTCCACTGCTTGCCGCCGCCTCATATCAATGAGCAGGGCAAACAAAATAAGAGCCGCAAGTGCCTAAGCCGAGAGCTCCATTAACAGAAGCTC